CGAACCTGCGTGGCGCTCCGACAGGATGTCCTGGATGCTTTTAAGCACTGCGCAGGCGCTAGCGTTCGAACTGGGGGTTTTTGATCCAAAGAACGAAGCGAAGACCGCCGGTGAATCACCCGCTGAGCAGACACGGAAACGACGACTCCGGCGTCTCATCTTGGTTTATATCACACAGAGCAGTGGCCGCCTTGGAATACCGTCCATGCTTCCTCTACCGCAATGGGCCAATGACATCCAACCAACAACGGTGACCGGGGTAAACTCAGGTGACATTACAGTTGACCGCATGCATGATTGTTGGATTGGAATCTCAAAGATTATGTACCAGAGCAATCAATTGTTGTTCGCCTCGAACGAACAGACCTCCGAGCTAATCAGGAGTGGTCGCTATCGAGATCAGATTGATCGCTTCCAGCCGTTCTTGCGAGAATGGCGACAGAACATCGATACCATCGACCGTAAGTGGATCCTCCACCTTGCCGTTGATTCATCCCATTAACATTTCCCCTCAGTCGCGCCCCCTATGCGGATGATCTTGATGATCGAGTATGAATATACACGTAAGTCTTCATGTGTTTGGTTGTTGTTCTTCTGTCAATAATTGGGGTTAACAATGTTCAGGACTGTACGTCAACTCCTTGGCCCTGCAAGCGGTGGTTGATCGTTGGACAACCATGTCAAACGAAGCTGCCCAGGCTCAGAATGGGAGGCCAGGATCGGGTAACTCCTCAAATGGTGGATGGTTCCATGTTCTTATGGAGCTCTATCGTGTCAACGAGCAATACATTCAAGAGGTGGTTGATGCGTCGCGAAAGATCCTCCAAGCGGTGCTGGAAGAGCTAATTCCTGGCGATCATCTGAAACACGCTCCGGTCAGGACATGTTTCCGAATTTTGTCTGGAATGATATTCATCCTCAAAGTAAGTGGACTGAGTCCTCGACTAGGTTATGATCAAAAGAGGCTAACATTACCAGACGTTCACTCTCGGCGCACAGGAGGACGATGTCCGTGTTTCCCTAGATCTTCAAGACCGTACCATCGAAGCGCTGCGCACCCACGTCGTCGATGATGTTCATCTATGCCATGCTATCTCTCGACTCCTCGAGCTGTTGACCACAAGCATCCGCACTCGATTCTTGCGTTTCGCACCGCTGGATCGGGCTGGCGACGGAGAGCCCCAGGATCGCGCATCTGCACCACAGTCGTGCCAGCAATCACCTCGTCCTCGAGAGGGGACCCAAGGCCGTCGGGAGGGTTCTAATCATGCATGGGCTACGCAAAACTTGGGCTATGTTGATAGCCATAACCAGCCAACAGCAACGACCATGGCTACATCTGCACATGACCCGCTGGCCGGGATTCCTGCCCAGCCGATCAACTCTTCTAACCTCAATGTGTCGTTCATGCCCCCACCACCATCTATGTATCACAACTACTATGACCCGAATGCGACCCCGCCTGCAGGCGACCTGGAAGGCTCAAATAATGTCCAGTCGCACTCTCAGTCGATACATGATAATAACGGCACTTCTGGAGCTCTGCCCGATTGGTTCGCCCTGCCATTGGATCAGTTCTTTGGCAGCTCGAGTGCAGTGGTGGATCAGGGACTCGGTGGCACAGGGCCGATGGTAGGCGAGCTCGATATGCTCGAGGTGCTTCTCAACGAGCAATACGACGTCAATGGTGCCCACCTCGAAGGCACCGGCGGTGGGGGCCTCCCTGCACAGTTCATGCCCTCGTCGTAATCATCATTTATGGTGAAAAGTATATTGGGGGGGTCTCTTAACTTTGATGGTGGTTTTTTGATTTTGATATTTGATTTTTGTATATTGAATGTGTGGATGCGATCGTTGTGATTACTTGTCGGATAAGGAAAATACCCATGATGAACCCTGATGATATGGCCTATGATATGTTTGCGTTAATGTTTCTCTTCTCGCCTTGTTTATTTCCTTGGAGGATCTACGCTTTTTTTTTTATTTTTTTCTTTCTTTTTATTAAGACACTGACCCTCACGGGTATGGATTTTCTCCGAGATGTCGATATTGTTTGATGATACATTTGCATGTGCCATATGGATCCACAATAGATCATCAAATCACCTGGTCTAGACTCTTCTTGATGATGTATATGCACTTTGTTCCCGACCACGAGAAAAGTCGAGAGATTGAAATCTCTCTCGGGCCCTGATATCAAACAAGACGGGTACTCCGACGGAGATCGACAGTACAAGGATTTAGTCTCGTGTGGAGAGGCTCCATCCAACACGATGATTTGCTTGGCCTCGCCTCCGTATCATCTAAATCTGAAACGCGGCCAGCTGAATGGTCGAAGTATGAACGTTGCATCGCGCATTGCATCCAGCAAGCGTTAGGGATATCTTTTCCACTGACGATCATCCGTTAGCTTCGAATCTCCTCTCCAGTGATATCTATCATTTGACCATCTCGTGTCTCTACAATAAACAACTCAGCCTCCAATCATCATCGTCATCTCCCATTCCCCTCGAGAAACGCCGTCATCACATAGGCGCTGCTCCACCATATTAACACGGTTACACAATGCCCCCGAATGGGGATCGTCCCGGTATATCGAATTAGCTCTCTTCTCTCGACGGACTTTCGGACCCGGATACCTCAAATCGCCTCCCCCGTCCGGAGTTGTCCGTCCACCTACTACGTTCGCGACAGGATCACCGATCCCCCTCCGTGAAGCCTTACCCTAGACAAGCAATCCACAAGACTCCACGGTAGCATCCACGATGGCCCCAGCTCAGGGCCTCCATGTTACCAACATGCCTTCTGATTGCTTCTCCCGCTAGTTCCTGAATCACTAGTGCTTTGTTCCCCTGTTTGCTCCTTCTTGGCAGCTGCTTCACTGTAACCCTCTCCTCCGTTTTACCCACTACTAAGCGGCTTGTAAAAGCTTCGGAAGGCTTGGTTGTCTATTAATTTAGGATCGGCTTGGTTGTATACCATGAAGGGGAGTAATTCTTGCAGTGGAACTAACATGGAGGACTTTCTCCTGAGACGAAGCTCGTGATGAGAAATGAGGGTATAAGAAGACTGCTGCTTCAGCTGGACGGAACAGATAAATCCTCAATCTTCATCCTCCAACTTTCCTCTTTACTCTCTGATTATCATTCATTCATTCATTCCTTCTTTTTTTTTTCCCCCTGCCCTTCTCTTGACTATAATTTGTTCTTCCATTCTTGTGTTTATACTATCGTTGGAACATACATATTCAAAATGGTTGTCTTCAGTAAACTGACGACCGTCACCCTCGGTCTCTCGACTATCACCTCGGCTCTACCAGGCCCCAAGACTCGCAAGGGCTTCACTGTCAACCAGCTCACCAAGCCAAACTCCCAAGCCCGGATCATTAACATTCCAGGCATGTACGCCAACGCCCTGTCCAAGTATGGCGCCACCGTTCCCCAGCAAATCATGGCGGCAGCTAGCAGTGGTAGCGTCGTCACCAACCCTGAGGACAATGATGCTGAGTACTTGACCCCCGTAACTGTCGGGAGCACCGTCATGAACCTGGACTTCGACACCGGCTCGGCTGATCTGTACGTGTACATCTTGTCTATGGCAAACTGAATCACTAACAACCCAACCAGTTGGGTCTTCTCGTCTGAACTCTCCGCCGCAGAACAAACTGGCCACAGCGTCTACAAGCCCGCCAATAATGCCACCAAAATGGACGGCGCCTCGTGGAAGATATCCTACGGCGATGGTAGCAATGCCAACGGTGATGTGTACAAAGACACCGTCGCCGTTGGTAGCATCACAGCCCATAACCAGGCCGTGGAAGCAGCTAAGGAGATCAGTCAACAATTCGTCCAGGACCGCAACAGCGACGGCCTCCTGGGGCTGGCCTTCAGCTCCATCAATACTGGTATGCATCATTCTTTTCTCTAAACATTCACTCTTCTCCCCGGTGACACAATAAGGAGAATCATGCTAATCAGACAAAACGAAAAAGTCAAGCCACAAAGCCAGAAAACCTTCTTTGACACTGTGAAATCCGAGCTGGACTCGCCTCTCTTCGCTGTCAGTCTGAAGTACCATGCTCCCGGCTCGTACGACTTTGGGTTCCTCGACAAGACCAAATACAAAGGCACGATCAAGTATGCCGACGTTGATAGCAGCGAGGGATTCTGGAAATTTACCGCCGATGGTTACAGCGTTGGTGATGGACAGGCTAACTCAAGCCCGATTGCTGCTATTGCTGGTAATTTGACCCTCTTCCTTTCTTTCTGTTTCTCTCGCTCTCTCCCCCCGCTCCCTATTCCTATCCCGCTTTCACCAGACCCATCAATATTAATAGAGAAAATGTTCTAGACACCGGAACCACCCTAGTCATGCTCCCCGATGACATCATCGAAGACTACTACAAGCAAGTTCCCCAGGCACAGGACAATGAGCAAGCCGGCGGATGGGTCTTCCCATGCAGCACATCCCTGCCGAACTTTACATTCGTTATTGGAGGTTACCAGGCCGTGATTCCCGGAAAGCATATCAACTTTGCACCGCTACAGGGGGGTGGCTCGACTTGCTTCGGGGGCATCCAGAGCAATGAGGGATTGCAGTTTTCGATTCTGGGAGATGTGTTTTTGAAGAGCCAGTATGTGGTTTTTGATTCGCAGGGGCCGAGATTGGGCTTTGCAGCCCAGGCGTGATCCGAATTAAATATTATTTGGGGAGATGCTGGGGGATGTGAGAGAAGGTGGTCGGGCCTGTTTCTTTTGCTCTGTGAGCGGAGGCCGATGGTAGGCTTGTTTCATTAGGGGTTGATTGATAGGAATGAGAATGAATGCACATAGGTTGATCCTATGGGTTTTGTTGATATACTAGTCACGATTTGGGTATTGAATGAGGTTATTATCCAGAAGCTAAGGTTTTATTTATAGTAGTAAAATGTACGTAGTACATCAGCATAAACACAACTAGTGCTTCAGAATGTCAATACTGCCGGCAAACTTTATCCACATGGTCCTGTAGCTCAGTTGGTTAGAGCGTGGTGCTAATAACGCCAAGGTCGCGAGTTCGACCCTCGTCGGGACCATTTTTTGTTGCTTTTTTATGCTCATCTTATTATGATGATCAATGCTTTGTTTTTTTTCTCCTCGTATTTATTGTTTGTTTCCTTCACTCTCTTTCTTTTCTTTTTTTCCCCTTTCCCTTTTTGGTAGCAGGGGGCTTTCTTATTACTTATTATTATTATTCATTTTCCATACCGTCCGGCATTTACGGGCGATCGCCTCCGGGAGGAGTTTAGCGGGGGATGGGGGAGGGTGGAGGGAATGTATTGTCATCGTAATGTTCCTTCCAGCCTTTCCGGACCAACTGGAGATAGTACGTAATTTCCAAGGCGATACAGCAGGTACCGCCCGTACCAGTACTGATATTATTGTAATCAATAATGCTACCTCCTACGTACGTCCATCAGAGAGAGCTGCTGCTGCGATCATACACAGCGTCATTTACTCCATCTGTCTCTTCTCTCTCTCCCTCTCTCTTTCAACATTTCTCCTTCCCTACCAATTCCACTCCCTGCTGCTCTTTATTCCTCTACAACCTCCTCGTCGAAACCCTATCATCACTGTGAGTTTCCGTTCGTCATCATTTTCTATCCCCACCTGCATCAGAAGTGGCTTAGCAAGTACCCTGGTCCTTCCCATCCGCGCGCAGTGGGGGTTGGTTACGACGAAAAGCCCATGGTGCCTGATCCATGGTGAATGATCAGCCTGATTCCAACAAGACTTTAAAGTCTGAACCCGTTACCCAGACTTCCCCCCAAGACCGTTCAAAGAGAAACTCATTTCTGTTGACTTCGTGTGCTTCCCCAAGCGCTTCGTCATCTGTTGCCAATGCTGGATGGGAATCATCTAAATATAGACCGCTACCATCACTTGATTGATACACTTCGTGTGGGACTAAATCTTTTATCGCCTCATTTACTGACAATTCCTCCTGCCCAGCTCTCTTTTCTCCCATCCGTCGCAATTCCTTCCTACGTCAGTTCTCAGCTTCCCCCATCCGATATCCGCCGCCGCCGCCGCCGCCGTCGCCGCCTTTCACCTTACCCCCCTCTGCGTAGTATTATATCGCTGACTTCGCGTCCACAATCAAGCTGGCAGGGAATAAGCGGAGAAGTTTTTCTAGCCAGGGTGGGTTGCTGAACCGAATGTTTAGTGGCTCCTCGAGCCCACCCAAAGACAGACCGGATTCAGTCCCAGAGTCGAGTGCCGTCGCAGCAGCACCACCACCTCTAAGCATACACACCGAAGAAAACTCGCCTCACCAGAGCAAAACCGGCGGCTTTTTCACACGGCGCACAAGTGAAGACCAGGCTCCCGCTGGCGAGAAGAAACGCCGGAGCAGCACAGTCACCAAGGCGGCAACCTTCTTCACCAACGCCAAAAACTCCTTGAGTCTGAGTAGCAGTCCTCGCGAGACTTCGTCTTTCCAGTACACAATTCGGACCCCGCCAACCCTCCAGTCGATCGGGAGCATGGACCCAGCATTGAGCGTTCCCCAAGGGTCGTTCAACAACTCGGCAGGTGAATCACTACCGACCTCTCGTTCCTCGTTTAGAGTTGGCGTCACGGAAGATCGCAACCGAAAATGTCGCCGGACAATGGAAGATACCCATGCATATCTTTACAATTTTCTGGGGACCCCGGCGCCCATAACCCTGGCTGACCGCGAAAATCAAGACGCTGTTTCGTCTTCTCCGGACACAACAGGTATTGTCGAGACAGACAATGGTTATTTCGCTATCTTTGACGGGCATGCCGGCACTTTTGCCGCGGAATGGTGTGGAAAGAAGCTCCATCTAATTCTCGAAGAAGTTATGCGGAAAAACCCAAATACGCCAGTCCCGGAGCTCCTCGATCAGACGTTTACTAGTGTGGACCAGCAGTTAGAGAAGCTCCCTGTAAAAAATAGTGGCTGCACTGCTGTCATTGCTCTTCTGCGATGGGAGGACCGTGTTCCTAGCCCCCATTCTGCGACAGGCTCTGCCGCCCTTGCACCCGCAGCAGCGGCGGCGGCGGCTAAAGGCGATTCTAACTCAGATGCAGGAGACACTCCAACCCAAGCCACTTCCACTGGAGCAGGATCTATTATTCCAAAACTGCAGGAAAGGGCTCTGCGACAGCGAGTCTTGTATACTGCCAATGTCGGTGATGCACGAATCATTCTTTGTCGTAATGGCAAGGCCCTTCGTCTGTCCTATGACCACAAGGGCAGCGATGAAAACGAAGGGAAGCGGATAGCTAATGCGGGTGGACTGATTCTCAACAATCGGGTAAATGGCGTCCTAGCCGTGACCAGAGCTCTGGGGGATGCATACCTGAAGGATCTGGTAACCGGGCATCCATACACAACAGAAACGGTTATTCAGCCAGATTCTGATGAATTCATCATTTTGGCATGTGACGGGGTGAGTTACCCCATTTACATTCAGGTCGTTGACTAGGCTAACTAATACGGGTTATTAGCTTTGGGATGTTTGCAGTGACCAGGAAGCGGTTGATCTTGTCCGCAATGTCTCAGATTCCCAAGAGGCGTCTAAAACACTGGTTGATCACGCTCTGGCTCGGTTCAGTACAGACAATCTTTCCTGCATGGTGATCCGATTTGACACCGAGCGCGTTAAGGAAGTGGTTAACCGAACCGCTGACCCTATCGGAGTCCATGGCGATTCCACTACCAATATCGAGCACAGGATGAGCGAGACAGATAAAATAGTCGAAGGGGCTAGGAAAAGCATGGCCAGTGCGGGAATAACTGACGAGTCGAAAGCTGAAAAAGTGAAAGATGACATTCTACACAAAATGGCCAGCGACGAGTCAAGCCCCGAGCCGGCTGTCAATAAACTAAGTCAATCGCCCGCAGGGAACGCGCCCTCGAGCAAGATGAACTAAGGCTAGAAGCTTTTGAAGCATCAATCTAGTCTTGTTATGAGATTGCGTATTTCTAGGAGGAATATAGAAAGCTTTAATCCACGCGTCCCACCTCTGGATTCCGATATTTGATCTTCCCCTTTCTTTCCCCCTTGTATCTGTCACAGTCACCGGCGTTGATCGCGAATTGCAATTTTCAGCTTCAGGAAGGAAGGGATTGGAGCACAGGTTGTGTATGGTATTCTGCACAAGGGTCTGTCTGTCTGATATTTACTTTCTTTTCCATATTACTTACATCTCCTTCAACCCTGGGCGTGTCTTTTTCTGTCCTTTGTAAAGTTTCCTTCGTCTGATTTGACCGTGTCCCCCCAACCAACAATAGCTCATCGCTCTTGCATTGTCGCATCATTTGTAAATTTGATTCCGGAACAAACGACAAACAAACTGGGGGGGTTTCCTGCCCCAGTTTATTTATTCTATTACTTTTTTTTTTGTCAGCTTGTGATAAAAGATTTTGGTAGAACGTCTTAATTTATATTGTTAGTTAGCTAAACGCCTTTATTCATTCATGTCCAGAACACGGAGGAGAAGACCTCAGGTAATATCTAAAAGTACAGATCTGTAAAGAAAAATCAAAATACATCTTCCAAAGTAATATATCCATCCATCCACAAGATTTCTTCGCTATTCGAATTTGTGCCCGGCCTTTTAAGCCTTCTTCTCCTTGAACTCCTCATCTGCAAGCACCTCTACACCATAGATCTGCTTCTGTCCCGGCATGACATGGTCGCGAGAGAGGTCGAGCTCTCCATGACGGACCTGCTCGGACCAGGTCTCAGCGAACCGAGCATCATGGACATCTGTCCATAGAATCTTCACACCGTTGTTCTCCAAGACACTGGCAGTTGCATCCTCCGACTCCTGGATCTTGTACTCGACCTGTGGGGAGCTCAGGGTCTTCTCAAACTCAGCCACACGGTTCGCTTGCTCAGCAGCCTTTGCCTCCTCCTTCGCACGTGCCTCCCGTCTGCGCCGTCTAGCAGTTCGAGTAAGGAACCCGCGCTTGCCATCGGCGAAGCCGTTCTTGATTTCTTCCTCTTGGATAGCTATCACGGCCGACACATCTGCCACGCTGGTAGCTTTCTGATCCATCATGATACGGGCGCGATCTTTCTTCTCCATCAGCCAGCCCAACTTGCCCGAAAACTTCTCGTCGAACTTCTTGGCCTCTTCGGGATCCCGCGGGCGTTTTTGGTTCAAGAACTGTTCTGTGATGGTGACCATTTCCCGCGGCGGGGCGAGCTGGCGTTGCAGGGAAAACTCGCGGAGGAGGTGATAGGCACGCAGACCGACTTTCGAATCGTCAAAGTGCACTGAGTAGTAGGGCACCCACATGTCTTTGCGGAGGGAGGCGGGGATGGTTTTCTTCCCATGGTAGACGAGTTGGCGTAGGACATTGGTTTTCTAACCGGTGTCGGAAATTAGCACCATAATTGAATATATATATATAGAAATGTGTTTTGGGGATAGAACTGAGCTCACCTCCAGATACCGTGTCAATGAATAAACCACCTGGTTGGTGCGAATGTTATGATAGACAAAGATGTTTTTGCCGTGGGTCAGGGCATTGAGGGCCTTCCGTAACCGAACTCCTTCATTGGACTGGTGTAACTTGAAGGCATTCGAGTTCTGTTCTCGCGGCTTGCCTTGGATATCCGTCTGGTTTTCGACGGGTGGGCGACGGACGACATTCCAGGTTCCGATCTTGGTCGGGTCCAGGATCTTCTGGAAGCGCTTCGACAGCGATTGTGAGGCCATTGCGGCCGGGTGGACAGATATGCGCCGCGGTTATTGGGTCACGATCGGGGGTTGAAGGGGGTAGGGGGCGAATCCACTCTATCGCAGTATGTGATGTGATGGACGAAGTGGAGGAAGTCGGAGTGACGGAGAGTTTGGAAGGAAACGCGGATCAATTTTTCGACGGAGCCCAAAACGGGCGAAGCCGCCGCAACCCCAACAACTTTACTTCAAGGTAGTTCAACTCACTACACTTACTTACAGATAGCAACTCTCCTATTCCACCAGCACTAGTTAACTTTCTCTCTCTACCTTCCATCAATATATACAAACAAATTCTCCTACAATGACCTAATCA